GTTATTTTCTGTTCTGCAACTTTTTATCCCTCTTAACACTGGGAAAGTGTTCTATCCTTAAAGGCCAGAGCCTTGAGGATGGGCTCTCCAGTCTGTTTCAGGCTCGAGGCAGCATTCTGTTACAAAAGGTGCAGAAGCAGCATGACTCAGCACAGGAAACAGAGCCCAGGGTCAGAGCCAAAGGAACCGATGTGATACAGAGTCAGATATGTTATGCCCTGCTGCACTAACACAACATTGTAAATCAGCCGTGCTTCAATACAAAAAAAAAAGATACAGGAAGACAAAACAATTTCAGACAGGGTAAGTCAGAAGAGCATGAGACACTGAGTGATTCAGGGAGTCCACTGGTAAGAGGAATGACCAGGAATTAAATTACCCACCGTGCAGGTGATCACGCCAGGCCCTGTGCATGGTGTATGTTTCCTAACAAGATGCTGTGTTCTGAGCAGCTCATATTTGAATGTGGCAGGCTTTGTCCATCCCTTCTAAATAAGCAGGGCCGTCCTTGGATGCCTGCCTTGCAAGCCAGGCCCTTCCTTCTGCAGGCTGAGCCCCGGTGTGGCCACGTCGGAACCCAGAGAGTCAGCTGGCTGCCATACTAAGGCCAATATACCCAGGGCAACAGGTGACAGGTGACGGCTGCCCTCCGTGATTCAAGCACTAACACCGTGTTCGCTGTTTCTAGGCTCGGAGGCTGGTCTTTTGGAGTGAGCAGCCCCGATCAAGATGCAAATTCAAATATATCGAAACCAAAAACTCTGGCAAAGGTAACAGTTTTTCTCTCTTTTCTTTTTCCCTGTTTTAGTAAGCTTTCAGGGGAACTTGTGTTTTGCAAATGCATTTGAGGGTACAAGAGGAGTCACATGCAGTCCCGGAGTCTGTCACTGTGAAATAAAGCCAGTTGTCCGTAAACACTGTCTTGAAAGAGGAAATGGAGTGTTTTCCTTCAGGATGTCTCAGAATAGATAAAATAGGTCACTGTTCTTTGTTGAGACTGGAATTCACCGAATAGATTTAAGCAAATGAGAAAATCGTCTATTTTTAAAGACACTGACCATCAAGATGAGAGGGAGCAGGGCTGGTGTCCCTGGAGATCTTCCATACTTAAATTCCTCATCTTCCCGAGCGCTGGATGGACCCCGAGCTGAAGCCAGGACTGTAGTGACCACACAGGGACTCAGATGTTCCAGCCCTGCTGGACTATCCATAGTAATTAGGAAGGGACGGGAGGAAATGAGGACTGGGATAGAGGGAAGACGCCTTTATCCACCAGTCGGAGCTAGGAGGTGGTGAATCATGACAGGTTTTTCTAATGGAAGAAGTCAGTGCCAACTTAAGGTGGGGAAAGAACCAAAGTGTTCAGTCTCTGCGATTGGGGGAATAGCCTGGGGTTGGTCCTGCTGGAGAGAGACATTGGGGAACAGTAGATCATGGGAGTGATGTGTCTCCTTGCAAACCTGTCATGGAACTAATGACACAAGGTCAGACAGCATGAGACCGGGAAGGTGGGCACCTGTCCTGCCTCATGGTGGGGGCTTCCGTGGCTCCTGGGGACGCAGAAGTGCTTATCAGGATACGGGTCTGTGCAGATTGGAGTTTCACTCAGTGGAATAAAGTTTCCTTACAAAGGTTTTTCACAGCATAATCCTCGATGAAAATGCTGACATTCATACTTCACGGTGGACTCCCTGAAGGAAGTTTTAACAGTCGTATTTCACAAAGTCACGCCTGATGAAAAATACAAGTCAGTGTGTAGGCTGTTCAGAAACCCCTCCTGCAGCTCAGGTTGGTTCAGACCTGTCTGCCCTGGCCGGCAGCCCCTGTGAGAAGACACACACAGCTCAGTATGAGAGTACCAAGACTGTTGGAAAAATAACCTAATGTGCACTTGCCGGTTTTTTGAACACATGGCGTGGCTGTTATTAACACGGACTTAGTTTGTAGAAGGAGTCTGTTCATTTCGTCTAAGGACATTTTGCCTTTTTCATCTTTGCACATCCCAGGCCTTCTGACTGGCGGTGGGCCATCTTGTCTTCCTTCGCTTTCAGGGACTCAGGGCACAGTCCCCACGGCACACATGGTTCGCGTGTATCCCTGACACCTGCTCCTGTCCGTCTCTGCTTGTCTTCCGTGTTGACATGTTTGAGTTGTGACTTCCGCAGGTTTTGATGTTGGACGTGTGCTTCGCTGGCCGTGGAGGCGACGTGCATCCGGCCCTTTGGGGAGGGGGCTTCTCAGGGAGCCGAGAAGTCGCAACACCCACGTCGGGCTGTAAAGGGCATCGGTTGTCAGAAATTCCTCTAACCTTCCAGCCATTAACCACCAGCCTTTCATGTTGGCCTTTGCAATGCATTCATAGAGTGTGCAATTTCCATAGTTTATTTTTTTAAGGAGAAAAAGGGAAATTGGCACAGGACTGGGCTGACGATTAATAAATCCGCTATGTTGTAGACTGTCGCTCGTGGAAACTTTACGGGCGATTTCGTTCACATCTGGAGCATCTTGCTTGTTTAATCAAAACGCTCTCTAGAATGTGTACACTTCACTTAAAAAGACCAAACACATTTCCCTCCTGGTGTTTGGCATTCCTTCTGTTCCCAGACAGAATTTTATGCATTTGAATAGCCTTCAAGTAGTTTTTTTTTTTTCTGTCTCTTTTTCTTACTGCTACATAGTTGCTTTTCTGAGGAACTGTTGTTACTCAGGATTCCTGACGTGAAAGGTCTGTTTTGTGGAGCCATAATATGTTCCTGAAAGGAGATTAACTTCCTCCCTCAGTGACTGCGTTTTGTTGCCTTCTGACTTCTGGGCTGGCCGGAAGGAAACCCCAGAATTTATTTCCAGAGCTTTTAGAAAGACATTCTGGGGAGAGAAGAAAAGGAAAAAAAAAAAAAAAAAAGAAAAAGAGAAAAAGCTCTTCCTTGGAACTCTTCTCAATCTTAATTGTTGACATGAAGAGCACCCTCATCCTGGGGGCGGGCGGTGTAGCTCGGTGGTGGAGCACGTGCTCGGCGTGAACAAGCCAGGTCCTGGCAATCCCTGGTAACTCCATTAAAAAAGATTAAAAAAAGATCATTCCAAAGTATGTATTGTTCACTTAATGTGTAGCAAATTTCTCGCAAGTCAAGGCCAGTCTACAGAAGAACTGAAATGACGTTCAGACGGCCCCTTGAGCCTCCGAGTCAATCAGCCATTTCCCAAATGGTGCAGACAGCCACCTCCGTCAGGACCACCCGCCTCTGGCCTTCATTGAACTGGCGAATCTGTAGGCGGGGGCCCGGGGGGCCGTGCCAACCTCCCTACCCCAGTGTCGGGGGGGCGTGCTCCCCAACTTGACCCCTGTCCTGGTCCCCAGAGTGTCCCCACTGCCATGTTCTCAGTGGCCCTCGGTCTGCTTTCTGCCTGGCACTTCTTCCATCATCCTCGATGGCCACAGGGGAAGATGCTCCTGGAAGTAGCCCACGTGAGCGGCCTCTCAGCCCGCCTCCTGCCCGTGGAGAGCCGGCCTCCCAGAGCCTGGTTGGTCCAGTTTGGCTACGCCCTGAGATGTAGCTCCCTGGGGGCTCCCCAGATTCCATCCATCCCTTCCTTCCTTCCTTCCTCCTTCCCTTTTTTTTTTGGAGGGGGAAGGAGGTAATTTTGTTTTCCATTTATTTATTTTTTCTTGTTTTTTATCGAAGTGTAGTCAATGGACCATGTTAGTTTCAAGCGTACAGCGAAACAATTCAGTTATACACATACATACACTTTTTTTTTCAGATTCTTTTCCATTACAGCTTTCTACAAGAAATGGAATATAGTTCCCTGTGCTGTACAGTAGGTCCTTGTTGTTTATCTGTTTTATGTGTAGTCCTGTGTGTCTGTTAATCCCAGACTCTTTGCGATCATTTCTTTCTTTTTCGGTGGAAGTGCTGGGGATTGAACCCAGGACCTCGTGCGTGCTGAGTACATGCTCCACCGCTGAGCTGTACCCTCCCCCACGCTGGGTTTTCTGTTTATCTAACTGGGGTCCTTCAGCCGCACTCACGATTCTTGTCAGGATGTGCTGCACCCTCTAAAAGTAATCGTGGGCATTTTGAGAATGTCACGTTCTCCAGGTGACACCACTTAAGTCCCCAGAAGCCCTCGTGCCCCCCGACAGTGTCGCTTAGCACCGTCCTTCCTTCAGCAGCCTTCACGGAGCTTCTCACTGCCCAGCCGTGCCTTGTGACTTGGCGTCTGTTCTGGGGTGTCCCTGCCGACATCTGGGCCTGAGGTCTGCATGCCTGGGTCAGGAGGTTCGCCGGCTGCTGGCCTCGGCGGGGCTGGCGGCGGGGGACCCACTTCTGTTCCTGTGTCTGCATGTTGCCATGGTGACGGCAGAGGCACCCGAGGGGCTGCCAGGATGGACCAGCGCCTTCCAGACCTCTGCCGGTGTCACACCCCGCCGGCCAAAACAAGCCACGTGGCTGAGCCCAGGAGGGTCGGGGTGGGGTGGGGTGGGGGGGCTTCAAAGTCAGACAGCAGAGGGTGAGGATGCCGGGAAGGCGAGGAAACCGGGCTGTACACGCCACCCAGCACGAGAGGGCCCCCCGCCTCCACTCCACCACAGCTGCTCCCCTGCACGTCCGTATTTTTGCAGTGTCATTTTTAAGCTGAAAAAAAAATCACCCCACTTTTTAAACAAAAATTAAAACCAAATGAAACAATGCAATGTTTGAAAACTGCCGATCTGGGGCAGAGACTGGCATTGCCTTTCAGATTTGTTTCTCTCCGGTTAAACAGTTCAAGGGAGCCAAGATGTAGGGGGAGAGGAAGGTCATGGCCGGTGGGACCAGGAGGTTCCAGTTTCCATCAGCAGTTTTTCTACTGCGTCAGACCATCAAGCCGTCCCTTGACTTAAGCATATTCTCAAGTTCATCTCGTTTCCAGGAATCTGCTGGTACTTGTGTCCAGCACTCCTGTAAGGGTGTGTGTGAGCCTGCAGGGAGCGGGGAGGTCCAGGGGCAGCACAGGTTGGGGTGAAGATCGCTGTGCGGGGTCCAGGAGGTGCCGACACCCTCCGGCCTGTGACTCAGCGGGCTTCTCCATCCAAGGAACCCAGGCTTTCCCCTACTTCGCAGGATCGTGTGTCTAGATGACAGCACGCTTGTGAACTTGTGAATTCACACGTGGGTCTTAACATTTTTCTTTGTTGACGACCTCCTTGGGTCTCCTTGGGCACAGGCTAGGGTGTCCAGGAGGCCCTGGCTTCTGTGGTTAGCAGGGCTCGAGTGGTGTTTCTTCCTCCTTGGGGCTCAGAAAGTGACTGCTAAGGATTCCTCTACGAACCTAAGAAAATATTTGAAGAAAGGAGAGCGTGGTGATCGGGTATGAAAGAAAGAGATGAGGGGTCTGCTTTCTGAATTGCTTAAGAAGTGGGCCATGTGAGAAAGAACTGGGGAGCGTTGTCTTGTGTGGACAAGGTGTTGTTGTGAACGATAGCGTTTGGTACTCTGCTGCCCCCATGAACCCAGGAGCTGCCACACAGGACCCTGGTTCAGAAGAACTGGTCACCGTGTGATGAACTGGGGAGTCCATGGGAATCACGTGCTTGAGATCAGGTCCTCACTTTGTAGAAACTGTGAGAACGTGCCCAAGCAGGAACTTCCTAGGGGAGCAGCTCTCATTCTGCAGAGAAGACCGTCTGTCACAAAAGAGCATTTCCAGGGAAACGAACTCTCCCATCAGATGAACTCAGAGCAAAGTTTGCCAGTTGATTTATGATGCTCTTCTTTTTTAAATTGAAGTATGTATAGTCAGTTATAAAGTGTCAGTTACAATGTGTCGGTTGCAATATTGTCAGTTACAATGTGCCGGTTACAACGTGTCAGTTATGTGTCGGTTACAATGTGTCAGTTACATGCTGTCAGTTACAACGTGTCGGTTACAGCCTGTCAGTTACAACAGGTCAGTTACAATGTGTCGGTTACAACGTGTCAGGTGCTGGTGCACAGCGTCATGCTTCAGTCTTGCATATACATATTCTTTGCAGATTCTTTTTCATTATAAATTACTACAAAATAGTGAATATAGTTCCCTGTGCTGTACAGAAGAAATTTCTTTTTTTATCAGTTTATTATGCTCTTAAAGACGCTCACCCACATTCCAAACTGAGTGTACTTTAGAAAATTTTTCACTGAAATATCAATAGTTTGAAATATAGGTACGGATGGTTCAATTAGTACTTTTTATGCTACTTAACACCGCAGCTTTAATAACATTATCTGTCCCTCAATTTCTCCTCCTCTTTTGTCCCATCTCATGCTCCTCTATTCTCCTTGCTTGGCAAATGTTCAGTTCAATTTATTTTGTGAAATGATGTTCCAGATTCAGTTGTTAATTTGAAGGTAATCATTTTTTTTCTTCTTCTTATCGTTTCCATGCTCTTAACTTGCAGGTCAAATTTCATTAGCCTGCTGACTGAGAAAGGAAAAGAGAAAGATGCGGGGCTCGCCTCCCTGTTTGGCTGTGAGAATAGAGTTCTAGATCAGCAGTCATGTTTGCCGTGCTGGGGGAAATGGGTCTATTTCTAGCTGTCCATTGCGGGCTGGAGATAACTATGCAATTAGCAGGTGGGAATTTACTGCAGTGTGTCAGCCACGGAGGGACGTCATTTGAGGCTGGGATTCAGGGGACGTGGAGGCCGACATGTCTTCCTTGTGTCCAAGGGTCACTGACGAGGGGACTCCAGACTGATGTCCCGAGGGCCGTTACGTTCTCTTTGCTCTCTAGGTGTGGTATAATCAGAAGGACTTCCTTTCCCTCCCGTCCTATCTAAACCACCTGAACAACCTCGTCCTGTGGAGGCTCCTACCCCCCACCGTGGACTCGAGACAGTACGGTAATGTGATTTTTTTTTTATTATTCCTTATAATTCACTACTTTCAGAGATGGTGTTGTAAACAGTGAAAGACACGGACTAAATTCTGAATAGATGTGGAGAGTAATCGGGAGGTTCCACCTGGCAGCCAGTCGGTACAGAGATCCACCAACGTGGAGGCCGTTTTGTAAGGGGAGTGGGTGCTGGGTGCAGTCAGGTGACCGATTGGAAGGTTGCTGCCTACAGTGTAGACATAGCCCAGGCAAGGCTGGGATGAACCTGGGGCCCAAAAAATGAAGTTACAACGTCCAAACAGAGGGGAGAAAAGGTGGAGGTTTTGGGGGGATGGGGAAAGGAAAGGAAAAGAGAGAACTGACCACTAGAAGTTTAGAGAGAAGGCTTACAGGATTAAAATATAAATCTGAGCTTTGAGAATGAATGACAGTGTTCAACACTGATGACGCAGGAAATAATTCAGGAGAAATGGGCGTCTTCCGAGGAGGGAGCAAAGGGAGGGAGGGTTGGAGTTGGAGTCACACATTAGATGCAGGTAAATACGCAGAAAACCAGAGAGAGAAGTCCAGCAGAGCGGTCGTGAGTAGGAACCACGCTGCCTTAACCGTAACGAAGATGGTGGATTTCAGTGGGTCCTCAAGGGAGCCAGTCTTCCAACAATCAGACCGAGACATGGAACGCAAGAAGGCCGTGGGCGGAAGGGTGGGGAGCTGGCAGAGAACCGGAAAACAACAGCACAGTTTCCCAGAATCGTTAGGAAGAAAGGTAACCCAGTGAAGGAGCTCGTGGCCTCCTTGCAGCTGGTAAGATGGAAATGTCGAGAGGTGGAGCTCGGCCCAGGAGGGGCGAGGTGCAGAGAGGTTGGTTGGCTGAGGGATTTAAGGCAGATACACTCTGCTTTGTGGAAGGTTAGCCACGAAGGCGCGTGAGAGGAGAAAGCGTGTGTGTGTGTGTGTGTGTGTGTGTGTGTGTGTCTAAGATAAAGAGGAACAGTGTTGCCCAGACCTCAGATCTCCATCATTCGGGTCTTGTCTGCACTGTCTTCTGAGTTACCTGATTTTCCCGGTCCCGTCATGTCCTGAAAGGGCGGAACTTTTTGTTCGTTTGCTGAAAAGCTGTGTTGACTTGAAAAAAGCCGTTTATTCCCCGTGATTGTTTTTCATCACTTCTGTCTCTCCGTCGACCTTTCTTTTATTTTTCCCACTTTTCAAAGGAATTCGTAATGACACGTTGAATTTTTTTATGTTTATGTTGCCTGTTGTCAGGTGATTCTAGCCATTCCGATTCATCTTGACGTCAACGTCTGTGTGTCGTCTTTTCTCCTTCAGGTTGCGATTAGCTTAGTTCTAGCTGTGAAGGGCGTTCTGCACTGAATCCTGGACACGCTGGTTGCCGTGTTGAGAGATTCCGAATCCTGCTACGTGTTCTTTTGCTGCTGTTCTGTTTCGTGTCCCAGCGGGCCATCCTTGCTTTGAAGCATGGCACGAGCTGGATAGATGTGCGTGTTTACCTGGCCCGCTGATGCCGGCCTGGCTGAGTGGCGCCCTGCCCTACACCACCTTGGCTAGAGGGTGGGGTTCGGCTCTGCCCCTGAGTGTTGCTGACACATACGTTGCAAAATGAGGTACCACCTGCCCTGTCTCGTGGCTCCTGAGTGGGGGAAGTGCGTGCACCCCCACAGCCCCCCGACACTAGGGGACAGGCAGTGTGGTAGCACCTTCCCCACCCGACGCGGCCTCCTTCAGTCTCACAGATACCAGGTGGGATGGGGGCTCAGACCCTTCTGAGCCGTATAACAGGGCGGAGGCCGACGCCACGTGGCCACGTCCAGTCCCGTTACTGCCAGGTGGGCGTGGGGGCTCAGCTCCTTGCTGGCCCCTCCCGATGGGCGGGGGCTGTGGAGGGTGGGGTGGTGACAGTCCCTGCCTCTCTGGGTCTCGCGGAGTCTCGCCGTGGCCAGGTGGAGGAGAAGGCAAGGCTCCCCTGCGGACCCCCGTGGGGAGACAGCCACCTGTCTGTCAGGTAGGGGGGAAAATCAGCTTCCAGGGGGACCTGCTGAAACGGCAGAGGGCGTTTGGCTGGAGCCAAGAAGGCTGTCTTCCGTTGAGACACCCTGTGCTGGGCCCTTTGACTTTCTTGGAGCTTCTTGTCTCGCCCTGGGGGCCGTTCCCATCTGGAGGCTTCTGCAGTCCGAGCCTGGGGTCTGTGGAAGCAGTAAGGAGACCAGGGAGCGCACCAAAGTGTCCTTCCTCACGTCCCGAGGTCCCCAGGCAGCTGCTGCCTTCCTCCCGCCTGTCAGAATGTTCCTGGCCCTGCTGTTGTGTGACGTCCGGGGGCTTCGGTCCTGGCAGGACTGGGGCAACTCCACTTGGAGGAACCAGAGTCAGTCTCTGACTTTCCAACCACTCAAAAGCCAGCAGGTCATGGAATCCTGCCTACAGAATATGACAAGAAAAATTCTGGACCTAGTGGAAGTATTGCTTATATAGTAAACAGGCCACAGAAACATCCTTGGATGGGAAGTGTCTGAAAAAACGTACTGTTGACATTCCCAGGGGAAAAGGATGCCCAAAGGACAGGTGTTTGAGGAATTAATCAAAAGATCACAGAAGTCGTGAATCCACAGAATGAATAAAATAACTTGGTGAATTTTGATTCTGGCAGAGCACATGGGTTATACAAATTTTGCACGAAGGAAGTGAAAAAAGTTAATTGATGGTCATGAATGACCCCATGAAAGAGAAGATACACAAGGTCAAATGTAACTCAGTCATAATTATGCATATTTAGAGAAAACCCTGGAAATTTTGAAATAATGGCTGGTCTTCCATTGGATTATAATTTATTTTCATTTTATTCTTTACCCTGTTCTTTATTTAAAAGCTTTTTACAGTTGGCACCTACTAGTCAATAAATATAATAATTAATCTTAATACTGAGGGGAAAAAACCACCTTTTTCCCCTCCCCACCCCACTTCCCCCTCTGGTAACCGTAAATTTGTTCTCTGTGTCTGTGAGTCTGTTTCTGTTCCGTGGATGAGTTCACGTGTGTCCTTTTGTTTTGGATTCCACACGTAAGGGGGGAATCTTTTTCTGGCTGACTTCACTTGCAGTGACGGTCACGGAGGTCTCGGTGAGACGGCGTTGGCTGGTGCTTGCTGGGGTGGGCAGAGCATCCTGTGTGGCGTCACGTACAGTCGCCACGATGGCGTCCTTTGTGCTGATACGTGGGTGGCCGCCACTGTCAGGACACCAGCGCACAAGGGCACGCAGAGCCACACAACACAGCTGCACAGACCAAACCGGCCCAACGGAGGGTTTGTTTTCTCTCTGTCTGGACTTGCTTTGCTCTAGAGGCGAATTCCTGAGTATTGACCTGATTGCCATCAAACAACCCCCTTTGCACTTTGGTATTTGGCCTGAGTCTGCTTCCCCGCAGCAATATATTCATTTTAGTTTAATTTTAAATACATCGCTGTGTTGTGGATAATACATCACTTACGCCGCAGGGATGCCTTCAAGGAGGAGACGGTGAAACTTGGTAATGTGTTAGCACGGAGCCTGTCCCGTAGCATGTCCAGTGCGTGTGGTTATTTCTGAGAGCAGCGGCCGCAAAGTGCCAGCGCGGACGGGTGGAGCTTCACGACGGCGGTGTTGTTCGTGGGCCGGTGGACCGCCTGCACCCGGGCACAGAGCACCTCCGGCGTGGCTTGGAGGTGGGCTGTGCGTAGACAGAGGTGGGGCCCCTGCGGGCTCACTTTTCAATTTGTTTTTGCAGGAATTACGGTCTATAGCCACCCGTACGGAGGGGCCTTGCTGAACGAGGACAGGATGTGAGTGCAAGGCTGCGACGGGGAGGGCGGCCCCAACGTGGGCTGCTTCTGGGTGACTCTCTTCTGCGTTTGCCCGGAGTGGCGTTGGCTCATGTAGTTGGTGGAACAAGGCTTGGGCGTCTCTTTGCGAAGTGGGAGGACGCTGACTTAAAGGAGGACGGGCCCTGACTGTGTTCACGCAGATAATCGTATCACGCGGTTGTGTTTCCAAGTAGAATTTGTTCAAGGGGGTGATTTGCCAAAGCTCGAGGGATCCAACAAGGTTTTCAGATTAGAAACTTTAAACACGGGGCTTACACAGGTAAACCTAGCGATGCCTCCCTGACAGTTTCTCATGTGAGCCCATCCTCCTGGTCCAGATGGGGACGCGGGTGGTGATAGGGACGCGGGTGGTGATGGGGCCGGTGCCCTTTATGTTCAGAATGAAGTGACAGTTCTCGCTGTCTTAGACAATGTAACTCTCCTCCTGTCCTTCTTTTTCCCCACCTCCCTTCCTCTGACCCACGGTTGACAAACTTTTAGTTAAAAATTGATAATAAATAAAAGTATTACGTATGTACCTCCTACGACCATCCATGATGAGTCTGGGGACGCTGGTCTGGTTACTGGCTGACCTCCCTCACGTCCTGGGCGCGGCCAGGATCTCACCCTGCACTTGTCCTCGTGGTCATGGGTGGACATTCAGGGTTCTAGTCGGAGCCAGTCCCTGACCCCTGCCCAGAATTCTAGGTGTGGGCTCGCTGACATCGGTTAAAAGCAAGACCTGGTGGAAAAGAAGGCGTGGGTGGTTTGTGCTCAGCCATTTCAACATCTTCCATCAGGAAGAAGTCAGCCTGTTCCTAAGAAAGAGGCAGTGATTTTTTTTTTTTAAATTGAAGTGTAGTCAGTTACCGTGTGTCCATTTCCGGTGCACAGCACAGTGTCTCCGCCATGCACATACACACATATATTCATTTTCATATGCTTTTTCATTATAGGTTATTGCAAGATATTGAATACAGTTCCCTGTGCTCTGCAGTAGGACCATGTTGTTTATCTACTTTATGTACAGTAGTGTGTGTCTGCAAATCTCAGACTCCCGATTTATCCCTTCCCATCTCCTTTCCCCTCTGGTAACCGTAAGTTTCTTCACTACGTCTGTGGAGGCAGTCAGTGACCAGAGGCGTTAGTTGTGCTCCAATTAACAAATGACCCAGGTGACTGGGTAGAGAAGCTGTGGTCTGTTTATACAATGGAATACTACTCAGCCATAAAAAGAATGAAATAATGCCGTGTGCAGCAACATGGATGGACTTGGAGATTGTCATTCTAAGTGAAGTGAGTCAGCAAGAGAAAGAAAAATATCATGGGATATCACTCATATGTGGAAAAAATGACACTAAGAAATCTATAAAACAGAAACAGAGTCACAGACATAGAAAACAAACTTATGGTTACCAAACGGGAAAGGGTGGAGGGGTAACCTACAATGAAAAAGAATCTGAAAAGGAATCTATGTATGTTCATGTGTGACTGAATCATGATGCTGGGCACCAGAAACAGACACAGTGTTATAAATCAACTGTACATCAGTAAAAAAAAAAAAAAAGACCCAGGAAGTATACAGTGTACATTTTTGCAAAAACAGCTGGGCCTATTATGGAATATTTTTGGTATTTCGAGGGACTAGATTCAGGGGTCGCTGACGCCAGCCCTCCCTCCTGTGGGAGCTGCTCTCTCGAGGGAGGTGGTCCCAACACGGGCGGGGCCACGGCTCACGGTGGAGGCCCCTCTGCAGATGACTTTCGTGGTAACTGGGACACGGACTCTGGTCAAGACTAGACTCCAGACAGGCAGACTGGGACCTGTCCTCCCCCGTCCCTGCTCGGTACGTCTGCCAGAAGCTGGGACCCGTAGCCCCTGCCTCAGAGCATCACTGGGGAGATTAAATGCGAGATTCCACACTCTTAGCCAATACGGTGGCTGGTCCTGTGGACTTTTAATTTATTAATTTTTTTGAGAAAATACATTTACTTTCTACCATGTTGGCCGACCTCACTAAGCCATTAGACAAAGAAGCGAGGAAGTCTGCATTTTTAACCTCACTTTTTTTACACTAAAATAAAATCCAGATGGAACACATACCGAAAGGCAGAGCATTAGGTGATGGAAAAACAAAGTCTGACTCCCGTCGTAACTTCGGCAAAGTGCAAGTTTTCTCAGCACACTGCAAAGCCTTCAGTAAAATTACATATATATATAGTATAATTTATATACATATATCTAAAAATGGAAATTAATTCTGGGTCAAAAACATATGTTGAGAAAGTGAAGGGAGAAACAAAAAAATTTCCAGCACGCCTGACCACAGCTGATTTTACTGATGGTATGAAACCTTCTTATAAGTCAGTAGAGAAAGAATGCTTGATTTTCTTTTTTTACTTTTTTTAATTGAATGAAGGCGTCTTAGTGTTCTGCAGTGCTTTGCAATTTTCAGAAGTCTGATTTCCGATCACCCCGTAATAACCCGTTCTCCCCCATCTCCGCCTTGCCCCTCGGCGCTCCCCGCTCCCAGCTGGTGACCTTAGTTACTGGTGTTCCCTGCCGCCCTGTTCTGGCCTCGCAGGTGTCAGGGACGGGAGAGCCCCGAGCCCCCGCCTGACGTCTGACGGCCGCTCTGCTCCGCCCGCAGCCTGGAGAGCATCCGCCAGTGCGGCGTGGCCCTCTGCATCGTGCTGGGCTTCTCCATCCTCACCGCCTCCATCAGCGGCGCCGTGGTGCGGGACCGGGTGACCGGAGCCAAGAGGCTGCAGCACCTCAGCGGCCTGGGCCACGGGACATACTGGGTCACTAACTTCGCATGTGACATGGTAGGACTGGGGTGACGGCATGACAGTCCCTGCACGTGCTTCCTCCGCACCTCCGATCTGCACGTGCATGCATGCTTGTGTGTGTGTGTGTGTGGCCATTTCAGGTGAAGTCACCTTCACCTGTCACCGCCGGTCATTAAGGATGGCCCCCAAAGAGGGAGGGCTGACAGGGCACACGTGGAGACCTGGGAAGGCAGGGAGCTGTGCAGAAGTGCAAGTCTCTTACTGGGAAGGTGAGAAAGTCACCGTCAACATGCTCTCTTCAAGGGGGTAGAAGATGGGATGATAAAAGTCATCAGCAATGGTCTTGGTCCTGAAACCACGTCCTGTGTGGCCGGAGCCCCGCTCCCCGGCACAGGCGGCAGCCTGAGCACAAGCTGCGTGGCCCCGGGTCCCCTGCGGGCTGCCTAAGCATGACTCATCCTGTGTCTTGCTAGAGGAGAGGGAGCTGGTGGGTGAGCCCCCCCGCCCCGGACCACGGCCATGGTTTGTCACCTGCTGGGGACACTGCGTGGTGAGGCCGGGCGGGGAGGCGGGGACGGGCGGCAGAGGGCGGAGTTTGCCCTGGGCGCTAAGTGCGGGAAGAAGCCGAGCTTCCCGGGGCGACGTCCGGGCTCCCATGCCTTCCCCAGAGATGAGGGTGGGTGCTGTATCGGTCAGCTCAGGCTGCTGTAACAAATGCACCTGTGGAGGGTCTTAGACAACAGAAATCTGTCCTGCCCCTGTTGCAGAGGTTGAAGTCCGAGATGCAGGGGTCCTCAGGATTGGTGACACTCTTGCGGCCTCTCTCCTGGGCGTGTGGATGGCCATCTGTCCCCCCATCCCCGCCCCGCGTCCTCACATGGTCGTCCCTCGGTGCTGTGTCCTCATCTCCTCTTGTAAGGACACCGGTCCTAGGGGATCACAGCCTGTCCTAAAGCCCCCCTTTGATACGAGTTTTGAAGGGGACCCAGTTCAGCCCCCCACGGGGACCCTCCCGGCCTTGCTTCACCACCACCCAACTTGTGACGCGCCAGCCAGGGTGCGGGCTCGGGCTGGGAGGGGCTGGCGGCACGCCCGGCGGGTGTGACGGTCCCCTCTGTCCCTTTGTGTTTCCGCAGCTCTTTTACTTGATTTCCGCCTGCCTGTGTGTGGCCGTCGTGGTCGCCTTCCAGTTAACGGCATTTACTTTCCGCCAGAACCTGGCGGCCACGGCCCTGCTGCTGGCGCTGTTCGGGTACGTGATGGGAGACTCTGAGGCGGAACTGCGGGCTGTTTTCGGGGAGAGGAGAGCCCCGCGGTGGCTTTGCACCTGCTGTGGCTCCATCACCTTCTCTCTGATCAGGGGCGCCCGGCAAACAAGCCGGAGCTGGGATGGGGAGCGGGGACGGGGGACGGGGTGGAGACGGCAGCGCCGTGGGTCCCGCTACCCTCGCTCTGGTGTGAGTCCGGGGCTCAGGCGCCTCATCCCGTGGGCTCTGAGACTCTGCCCCTGGAGATTCTCTCGTGAAGCTCGGGGCCTGTGGACTTGTTCCCACCTCTCCTCTGACATTAGTCAGAATCCTGTTCCGTTTTTGGGAAATTCATGCCGTGTGCAGGTGGGGCCAGTTTCAAAGGGAACAGAACCCCATAAATTGCAGAATAACTGAACAGGGTGCCAGTCTCCAACACTGAATCACTAAAATGGTATTCTGTTACGTTTGAATAGAAGAATGGGGGTTGTTTGAAGCTTCCATAGATTTCACTAAAAAAATTAATTATGCTCTTTAAGCCAATTTAACTTTTTTCTTTAAAAAAAAAGGAGGACTGGGGCTGCCAAAATGTTTATTTGAACCAAATGTTTGATAGGTGACTGATGAACTTGTAGTACAAAGACACTCACTTCCGTCTTAAATGCTCCAAAATCGTTTTCATGCCTTAGTTACAGGGCAGACATCTGTTGACAAGAGTTTCTGAAACATTGTATGATTTTATACATCATATTCCAGAGATATCGTATCTTCTGATACAAGAGGGTGTATCTTTCGACCCAGGGACAAGTGCCGCAGATTTCGTATAGGAAAGGAACTGGACTAAAATAAAGAACGCGGTGCGGCATGGTGCCCACGCAGAGGGGACTTTCTGGTTTTACCCCCCCACACCCTTTTTTTTTTTAACATCTTTTTACACAGATCTCTCCACTCTTGGTAGCTTTTCATTCTCACTCCACAAACGGGTATTTCTCCTGCTTTATGGAGGGGAATCAGAGCAAAGGAGCGAGACCAGGTTTGCCCCTTGCAGGGGGACGGCGGGGAGGCGGGCTGACTCCACCCTGTCCCGGCTTGGCCCCGTTAGATTACGGCATCTTCAGGAGGCCCCCAAATGTGCTCTGTCTTCAGAAAATCCTGCAGGATTTATTGAGTAAAATGTGCTGCTTTCTGCTCACGGAGGGAGGCAAGATAACCAGATGAACAAAAGCTTTTTGTTTGGGGAAGAGGAAGGTGATTTCTCACTGTGTTTTCAGATACGCGACGCTCCCGTGGATGTACCTGATCTCCAGAATCTTCTCCAGTTCCGACGTTGCTTTCATCTGCTACGTGTCCCTGAACTTCGTCTTTGGCCTCTGCACCTTGCTGATGACCGTCATGCCCCGGCTGCTGGCCATCACCTCCAAAGCCCAGGTCGGCGAGTTTCAGCGCCGCCGCCTCCCCCAGGGCACGGGGGCGGGGTGGGGGGTAGAGCGCCGACCCACGCCCAGTCTGTACTTCCCAGTTGGGGTTAAATGGAACGTGCTGGTATCCACCGCCTTCAATCTCCAGAAAGAGAAGTTCGCTCCAAGTAGCAGAAACGCCTGTGTCGCTGTCAGGGCCTCCCCCAGGCTGGTGACCTCGGGCGGAGCACGAGCAAGTGATGCTGCTCCTCCGTGAGTGAGGCCAGACCCGGGGCGTGCTCACGGCCGCGTCTGTGGCTGCATCCCCGCTGTGCATGGGTCACTGATTGACGGTTGGAGGGCGGATGTGGGTGTGAAGTGTGTCCCGGCGGGGTGTCCGGGAGAGGGGTCAGACCATCCTCTCTTTGGGGTTGGATGCCCCAGGGTCACAGGTCCTTGGGATCAGGTGCTTCAGGGCGGGACTGGCCACTTTTGGGTGACTCTGCCCTTTCCCCTCTGAGCCCTGGGACATATCTGCAGTTGCTGCTTTCAAAATGTTGGAGCAAAGGGCTGCCCTGAGAATTGTCTCCTGGTGAGCTGGACGCCCTCCTCGGAGAACCCTCTCTCCAGCAGGCCACGGGCATCCCAGGCCAGTCTGGGGGTCATCCCAGCAGAATCCACTTCTGCTGGCACGTCCTTCTCGCCCCCCCAAGGCTCCTGCCGCCCTCTCCCCCGGGGGGCCTGCCTGGGCCGTGTCTGCTTCAGCTCACCTTCTCTCTTCCGTCTTCCGCAGCCTCCCCAGTGCTGCCTGTGGGGTGGACTCAGAGTGCGCCCTCTCCTCTGCCCCTATGTCAGTTCCTCTGCTACCTTCTGCTCGTGGCTCCGACCACACGGTCCTCTCCTGACTCCCTGCTGCCCGGACCCCCCTTCCTCACGTTCCTGAACCAAACTTGGGTCCGCTGGCCGGCGAGCAGCGAGGCCAGTCTGCTGACCCCTGGTGGTGAGGGCGGGGAGTGCAGCGTGTACTGCAGGTGCCCCGCAAGGAGTCCAGGCAGCCAGGGCTCCAAACACCTGAACTGCCCGGAGGCTTTCGGAGAACTTGTCTCTCCAAGACAGGGCGAGGGAGGGAGCCGTGGGGGGCGTGATCAGCTCATGGACAGTCTTCTGATTGGCGGGTGATGAGGTCATCGGGAGTCACCGCCATCGACCTTCTGGCTCCGGCTGGTCTGGAGTCCGTGTGCCTGTGGGCAGCATTCAGTTGACTTCTGCCACCTGGTGAGGGTTCAGTGTCTGCAAAACAGCTCAAAGGACGTGATTCGGAATATTATCTATAGCCCTGGAGGAGAAGCTGAAAGGTCCTGGGCTGAACTATTATTATTTTGTCTTGCTTGACTGTTCCCCTTCCACTCTGCACTTTCCCACTTCTCTGGTTAAATGTGGAACTCGGGGGAGGCCGAGGAGGCTGATGCTTTTCTGCAGACAAAGGCAGGTGGGGGACGTGGAGGGGGTCTGTTCCAGGAAGGCCCCGTGGGGGCCTCAGTGGTCCTGGTGGGTGATTGACTCACGGGCTGAGAAAATAGCATGGGGAACGCCCAGCCCTCCCAGTTCTGGAGGATGTACTGCTGGTCGTGTCTCAGAGGGGTCCGGGGCTGGGGCTTGCGTAAGTCGGACGGGCTCGCTTCCTGATGCCCGGACTTGCCGAGACTTCGTAGGCTGCCCGCTGATGGCTCCTGTTAATTTTTGTGGTTATGCCTCATGTTTGCACAGAAGCAGTGAGTTATGTAAATGTGCACTATGCATTCCGTAAAAGAAACAATTTATTTTGGGGATTTTTATAGGTCTGCCACTGACGCTAATCTAGATTAATGTGTCTAGACTTTAAATAGAAAACCAGCAGAACCATTAGTTGGTTTTAGCGTGAGGAGAACATTGAAGGAAGTTAGCAGAGGCAGAACACAATTTTCCTTGTCCCCAGCAGGTCCCTAATGTCAAAGATGGGGCAGAGCTGAAGCAGCTGGCCTCACCATTGATGGTGACATGAATGAGAAATCAGTGCCTGGTGTAGTAACAAGCACAGAGATTTGGGGGATGTTTGTTACATGGCAAAGCTAACTCATACATCATTAAACTGAAACCAGCTGCTGTCTTAACAACAAAAAATTCATGGATGTCAGTCATGAACTAAGATGGGGAGGAAGCCAGACTCGAGGTAGATGAAACCTGTGGTGAGAAACTCGCAGCAGGATCTGCTCCAGGGGTCAGGATCCCAGATGGAAAAGGAGAAGGTGAGATCTTCCAGACCCAAAGAGGATCTAGCCAGGAATCTTTGCGTGGTGAGATTCTAACGCTTAGGCTGGTGGGAGGTGGTGTCCCCTTCCTTCGTAAACAGAGTTGCTCACTTGGAGGGAAAATCAGCAGGTTAATAGAGTGTTTGCAAAAAAAAAAAATCAAACTCGATTGTTAACAGATAATAAAAGGCATCTGATTGCTGTTCCTCAGGCCTTTCTTTGCCTTTGCTTCTTATTTTGGTGGTGTTTGCTTTAAAATCTCAACATTATAAATGAGTGACTTCAAATATTCATTTGCAAGTTAATGGAGCAATCGATATATCTTCATGGCATCCATAGGAGAAACCAAGAAAGGTGACTGGCATCTCAGAGCAGTGCCCAAAGCCAGTGCAACGGGTGTTGACCACTGTGTACACAAACTAGCATGTTAATCAGAGCATTTTAGTTTTTCCCAAGTCACAATTCATAAGCCGATGTTCATAGGAAATGCATTTTGGGGTCTGACTCAAGGGCTGGGGCTTCTGTCTCTCCCACTGGTGAGGTTTCCCTCTAAGAGGGGAGCGAAGCTCTCCGTTTCAGTGATTTATTCCTCTGGATATTGGAAGTCAGACGCCTGTGAGCTGCTGTGTGGTGAATTAGTGTAGCTGCCCCCCTCCACGTGTGGGTTTCCTGTCAACTCAGTGTCCGTGCATCGTGGACAGCTCTGTTCATGGTGGAGTTGCTACCCCTGCGGGATCGTCGCGTTCAGATCCGAAGTCCCCACGGTTACGCTTCCTGAGCTAGGAGCTGCAAAAGGCTGCTGTTCTCATCTTACCACTTAAGACAAAATCCTTTCATGTGGGACGTTATTTTATCCAGGGGCTTCATTTTATGCAAACTTGGATCAACAAATCCATGCGAGGGCTGGTTGACATCTGTAAATAGTGTCAGTCACGACAAGCATTGAAGGAAAAGTAAATGAACCTCTCATGTTTTTCTCTCGTCTCTATGCAGGAGGCGATCAACCGTCATAAACTATATCTGCCCCTAAAAGCCTCTGTTGAATGTTCTGTTGTCCCCAAGTCACGTCAGCTGAGACGACTAATTGTGAACAACTCTGAGTGTGCGTTGCAAGGGAAAACTGGACCTTTTTGGGTGTGAAATATATAATCGACACCTTTGTGATTTTGTTCTTTAGTTTGCACGGAGCATGTACCGTGTTGTGTGTTATTAGGCACACACGGCGATGATTTTACTTCCCTGTAAACTATTGTTGTTCGAACCAATGACTGAGTTTGAACACAGGGAGCGAGGGGACCTGAAACGTGAGTCTGATTCTTGATGATATTAGTGTGGCATCGTTTGTAAGTTGTGGTTCCCGTGGCTGTGGCTTTCTGGGCTGCACTCTCGAGCCCAAAGGTCAGTTCAACGGACCATGTTTTGGTGAGTTTTCTCCAAACCTTGCGTTCCGTGGTGGAAGGACCTTATTCTTTGGACCCAAAAGGTGGGTGTTGGGTCCTGGCCTTTCCCACTGTGTGGCTTGGACACATTGATCAGCCACGTGGAACGATGTTGGCTAATCCATGACTGAATTTACTTCTCAGTACCTTGTACACTTACTGAGAGAATGACATGCAGTGAAATTCGGTGAAGCTGGGCGCCTACAGTCCTTTACAGAAAGCTCCCAGTGCACAGTGATTAACACGGTAATAATTTGAATTTCATTACGAAACATCAGATTCACGAAGCATCAGATGGTAAAGACAATAATGAAATTTATGGCAGATTTTTTTACATGTATTTATATATATTGTTATGATATATATGGTATACACGAATGTATAAATATATTTTTATGTATTTAATATAAGTGTAATATAATTTATTATAGTTTAATTTAATTCAATATAAAATATATTTATATATTCGATTTAAAATTACTTTTTTCAAGTATCTCCATACTTTTTGGCTTCTCTGCAATTACACATTGTTCTCTCTCCATCTCCTTAGCCTTGTAATAGCATTTAATTTTAAAATGTTAATGACAGCAATGTATATTTAATATCCACTCCATGCGAAGTATGAACTCACTATCTTTCATGTTCTGGAAATGCTCCCATGCTCACAGTCACAGCTGACAATGACAAATTAATCAACTGACCTAAGAAAGAAATGGAAAATTTTAATTTCAGCCAAATTTGAGGATTGTAAGCCGGGGAGAGCACTTCAGACAGCTCTGAGAACTGCTCCCGTTAGAAATCAAGGCAGCTATACACGTGTTTTGGGACAGAGGCTGGGCATCAAATGACGTATTATTGACAGTTCTCAGAATCCGGATCTAAGCGTCATGCTGGTGGGTCACGTGACCCCTTACAAGGTCAAGAAGGAACGCTAACTTTTAAGGAGCTGTCTTGAAGGCTCTTTATGGTTGACCAGTGTCCCTGCCAATGGGCGGGTTTGGGGGACGCAGAATGCGGACACACGGTGCACAGTGCGGGGAGGGGAGGGCAGAGGGCAGACAAGAATTTTTTGTGTTCCAATTTTTGTGGTCTTGCCGTAACATACGAATTTTATTTCACACACAGTTTTCTTTCTTGTCTTGCCATAAAATATGACTTTTCATATTATCCACTCATCTAGACATTCGTGTCCTCCCGTGAGGTTAGCCACCCACGTTCTTAGTCAGTTTGCGCTGCTCTGACAGAATGTGACAGACTGAGAGCCCTCAACGAGACACATGTGTTTCTCATGGATCTAGAGGCTGGGAGGTACCGGGGCGCTGGCGGGTTCTGTCCGCGGTGAGGCCCCTCTTCCCGGCGTGTACCTTCTCGCTGCGTCCTCGCACCGCAGAGGGAGGGGGTGCTCTGTCGTCTCCCAAAGCCCCGCCTCTTAATACCATCACATCCCATTGAGGGTAAGGTCTTCAACACGTGCATTTGGGTCGGGGGCAAACAATGAGTCTATCAGGTTCCCCCTGGCCCCCCCAAATCATGTCCTTCGTGTGTGAAAAATACATTTATCTGTCCCAGGAGCCCCCAAAGTCTTAACCTGCCCTAGTCCAAAGTCCCTTCTAAACATCACCTAAATCAGAGACGAGAGAGACTCCAGGTGCCTCCATTCTGAGGCAGAGTTCCCGTCCCCTCGTGAACCTGTGAAGCCAGGTCAGTCCCCCACTTCCAGAATACAGGCGTGGGCGAGACGTTTGCATTCCAAAAGGAAGACGTTGCAAGACAGAGAGCGGGGAGGGGTCCCGAGCGAGCCTGAAACCCGGCAGGGCCGGACGGTTGGAGCTCCAGGCTGGAGGATGCGCGTCGTGGCTTTGCTGGTGTCCTCGGGCGGCTGGGACGAGGAGGAATGGACGTCAGGAAGCGTCCTTCATTCGCTTTCCCTTTCTTTCCCTGCGCAGAATTTGCAGAGCATCTATGACGTCCTCAGGTGGGTGTTCACAGTTTTCCCTCAGTTCTGCCTGGGCCAGGGCCTGATAGAACTCTGCTACAACCAGATCAAGCACGACCTGACCCACAGCTTCGGCGTGGACTCCTACGTGAGCCCCTTTGAGATGAACTTCCTGGGCTGGATCTTCGTGCAGCTGGCCTCGCAGGGCACGGTTCTGCTCCTCCTGAGGGTTCTGCTGCACGGGGACCTCCTGCAGCAGCCCAGGTACGTCCCCGGGGCACCCTCTTCTGGATGGAGAGGGAGGGCAGACTCCCTCCTGGGGGCTGCAGGATGAGAGGTGCGTCTGATCAGCGCTGCGCGCTGCTGTGACAGCTCAGGTTTTGCGTTTTCTTGGTTTGTTTCGTTGGTTTGGAAGTTCAGCGCTGATAACCTGCTGTTAGTAGCAATGCCTCCCCTCTGGAGTGGTGGCCCACGGCCTGCTCCTGGTGGGGGGGCCACCAGGGCGCCGCCCTCCCCTCCCCTGCACTTGCTCCCGTCCTGCGGCCCTGCTGGTTGCCGTCTCAAAATCCAGGTCTCCGTCAGAAATGGCCACGTACCAGTCAGGCTGGGTGGGTTTGGGGGGCGGGGTGCCCTGTTTATTCCCTGTCTGGTCTGGAGCGGAAATCTGTGCTCTGTACCTCAGATGCCGGCTGGGTCCGGGCGGCCCCGGGGCCCAGGGCCGCGTGCCCCTTCTGACCTTAGGTGTGCTGCAAGGTTCTGCCACTACTAGTGCCCGACAGGATGCCTCCGTTGTGAAAAGGATGGCATTGTCTGTGGTCGCCGTTGGAAGATGGCTGATGGGCGCATTTCTGAGCCCGGGTGGGTGCACTGCACATTGGATCATTGCGAGGCCGCGTCGTCCTTCACCCGTCGGAGTTACTCAGGATGTGAACAAGCTGTGCAGGCGTGGACCCCTCTGGACCCTGAGTTCGGAAGCTCCCGGGCCGAGACCCGGGGAGGATTTGTGAACTTTCCCAGGAGACTCTGACGAGGAGGCGGTCAGAACTGCCGATGTGGGTGCCTCGGGGTGGGTCCGGGAAGCAGGAGGAGTAAGGGAGCATGTTTCCTGGCAGAGTGAGAACAGACCCCTGGAAGGCAGAAGCGTGGAGGGGTGCACGCTCAGCAGGGCAAGGGGAGCTGTCGAGCAGAAAAGATTCAAATTCGGTGATTTCCCGCCGCTTGGACACACCTGAGCTCCCTTCTTCCAGACTGAGGGCTCTCAGCGTCTGGGAAGCCCCCCACGGCCCGCTCCCATCAGTGAGCACCCCGCAGAGGCCTGCCTTGCTCATTTGCACCCCTGCCAGTCCCTGTCTGGTGCTTTTGGAAACTATGTAGATTATATGCTACAGTGTAGACCCTGGAGTGTCTCCCTGTATTTTCTCATCATCTCTGTTGTGTTTAAAACATTATCTATTTGTCCAGTGGTGATTTCAGGTGTGGGGGGAGAAAAAAGCCAAGAAAAGATCTGAGAGCACTTGGGTCCGGCAGTGGATGTTTCATTGTATTTTTAATCCTTTTTTTATTTTAAAATAGTTTAAGACTCGCAAGAAGTAGCAGACAGTTCCTATGTCCCCTTCACCCAGCTTCTCCCAGTGACATCGTGATCATATAATAATATATTGCATGTCAATGTGACACTGAGAAAGCCAGGAGATTGATGTTGGCACAACACTGTCTTTGTGACCTGATTTTTTTTTATTGAATTGTAGTCAGTTTATTTTTTTAATTTTTTAATTTTTAAAATTTTTTTGTGGATTTATAATCATTTTACCATGCTGTGTCAAATGCCAGTGCAGGGCACAATTTTTTCAGTTATACGTGAACAAACATACGTTCATCGTCGCATTCTTTTTCGCCGTGAGCCACCGCAGGATCTTGTCTGCGCTCTTTCAGTTATTAAAATATCGACACATGACAGTTTGCAGAAGTGGAGATTCACTTGGAAGCTCAAATGCGCCAGAATGCAAAGCACGAGGAAGAATGGAGAAGCGAGCAGCTCCGATTTAGAGCAAATAAATTAGAGTTGAAAATTAAACTTGTGTTCGTCTGACAGACACTGGTTAAGTCTGTTGCGCCAAGCGTCGTGCAAAGGGCTTGCATTTAATTCTTGTACATAATCCAGCGTACGCCATAGGTGTGTAGCGTTTGGGTCCTTTGGCGTGTCCCCGACTTGATTGCATTCCTGTCTGCTAAAAGCGCTTAGATGAGTTGATTTTTTTTTATTCTGTGACTCACCATTTGTCCGTCTAGCACAAAATAGTCATGAATAATGACTTCATCATTCATCAGATTGAAAAGTCGTCCTGGTTCGGTGTCCGTCCACATCACTAGCAGGCACACGCGCGTTTCCCTGGCTTGAAGGGGTGAACACTGAGTCTGTGCGGTGATCAGTCCCCAGGATGGCGGAACTGGGGCGCGTGGACCACGGCTCGTCCTTGAAGCCCGTGTCTTCTGTTCGGGTGACCCGTGAGCCGCCTCTCTGTCTGGATTCTTCCCGTCCCATTAACTCTGACTTCTCTCTCCAGGCGTCCCCCTGCCATGCAGGGCACAGTCACGTTTTCTAAGGACATAGACGTTGAAAAGGAGCAAATGAGGGTGTTGAAAGGGAGAACCGAAGGAGACATCCTCGTGTTGTGCAACCTCAGTAAAAGTTACAGAAGCTTTTGCAGGAGAACCACCGCTGTGCAGGACGTGAGCTTGGGCATACGGAGAGGGGAGGTAAAAACGCTTCTCTCTGCTACTTTCCTGCTGCACAACCGTGTTCCTCTCATTGTTGACCTGCTACTGTTCGTCTCAGAGTCCTTGAAATCAGAGCTAAAAGCAGCCTTCACGTTTCAGGAATTTCTGCAGAATCCGAGTAGAGAGTCAGTCGGCTCTTTCCCACTGCAAACTTTGCTGGTTGATGGGGTTTATTCCATTTCATAAATTTTTTTTAAATGCAAGTGATTGAGGAGTTTTAATGATTGTTTGGGCTAGGGGATGATTTTTCTATTGAGTACAAATATTTTATAAAATCCAACTAATTAAGGAAACCACATCGAACTCTGGCTTGGGTGTCAGTCCCCTCTAAGTGGCCACTTCAGCCCATCTAGTGAAATGCTGTTCTGCAGAGGTAAACACTCTCACACCCTGTAATAATAACTCAGAATTTTTTTTCATGAATACGACATTAATTCTAGCAGAAATATGCAATCTGAATGGGACAGGAATCATATAAATCGTTCCTGACTTGTGCTTCATGCACGGAGGAACATTGTTCTGGAAATGATTAACTTGAGTTAACTTTTAAAAATAAAAGAGTACCTTGCAGTCACATTGTTCCAAGCTTCTGGGAAATTCAAATTAGGCCATGTGGTCCCTCTGCTGTGAGCGGAGAACCGGCATTTCAGAGCTGAGTATCATTAGGTAAAGAGAAGCCGAGAGATTGCACTGAGTCCATCCAGGAATCCCCTTGCACCCTGCACAGAGCTGTGTGCTCAGAGAGGACAGGATGCTGAAGTTTTTGTTTTTGTTTTTTTTTAATAGTTTACTACCCAACTTTAAAACCAGCTACGCACCCTTCACCACCCTATTGAGCTATTTTTTTTAACCTTTGCTTTAAAAAAATAATCTTTAGTTTTACCACTGCCTCTCCATGGTAATTTTAAACTCAAGGGGTAAGAGAAAAACTTGGAAACCTTCGTAAGAGAGGTCCTCCAGGTGTGTGAAATGGCCCAAGATGCCAGTCACATCGGGGTTCTCCTTGCTAGACGTTTTCTCAGCATCTCAGTTTAATTGCCAAGATGGGATGGAAGGACCCGCAGAAGAGACAGAGATGGCTCAGATGTGCCCCTGTCCCTCCAGGAATGAACACTTGTGTAAGATCTGCAAAACAGAAATGGACTCACAGACTTAATAAACAATCTTATGGTTGCCGGGGAAAGGGGGTGGGAAGGAATGCATTTGGGAGTTTGAGATTTACAAATGTTAGCCACTATATATAAAAATAGATTAAAAATTTTTTTCTACTGTGTAGCACAGGGAAC